GCCCCGCTGGGGACCGAATGAGGTTTTTAGATTTTAGCAGAGCCGTTTCTTACCATCTGACCTGAAAGACCCCTCACTACACGAACTAATCGGCCTCGTTGAATAGCTGGATATATTTGGTTGAGTGTGATTATTGTCAGAAATGACATCATGAAAATTTTACCAGCAGACAGCTGTTACTTGTTTAACATTCATGTGTGAAACCGCCATTTCGATTTGTTGTTAAATTCAGTGCTCCGAGAAACTGTTTTCATTAGCAATGAAATTGCAGTTACGTTGGCTGGCAAGTTTTTGTCTCGCCTTGAGATTGATGCGGTCGGCACTTTCTTGAATTGTTTTTTGACACAAATTAAACAAATTTAACCTCAGCTGCTTTTAGGACAAACAATAAGATATATTGATGTTTGAAAACATATTTTTTCAACAATATTTCCTCTAAAACTTTGAAAAAGAGATACTATAGCTAGTACATTCGGAAATAAGTGACTTCACTGTGTTGTGTAAAGGCGGGTTTCCACCAAACGGTGGAAACCCGCAAACTAATCGCTTGCGACTAGTTTCGTTTCCAAAACAGAAACGAATAACTTGTTTTAGTTTATAAACAAACTGGGAACTCGAGGTCCAGTTGTTTCACAACAAAACAGTCACGTTTTTTGTTGTGAAATATTTTCTGTCGTTTCCACTACATGACATGCCTTCTCTAGACGATATTTTTATACTTGAATATTTCGAGTGGAAGGAGCGAGAGCCCAAAAAAACGAGATCTTAGATGAAATCCTTGTTGAGCAGATGGATAAATCATAAAACCGATGAAATCATGGCAGATATGATGAATGATGACACAGAAATGAATAGAGAACTAGGATGAATAGTACCCATCACAGACTAACACTTTGAATAGAGTAATAATGTCGCTGACTGTTTTCACATAGCGAAAAAATCAGTTTAAAAAAACACAGACAAAATACCGAAACCTTTTGTTCTTTCTGCCTACCGATGGATTATTTCGTTGTTGACAAAAATTTACGAAATGATATTTAACAACTAATTGAAGTTGCATGATATAGTGACTGGTCTATGATTTGATATTTCAGCTGCGTCTCCAATTTTGATAAAGGACAGTCCTATCTGCGGGATCGAAAACAATATGTTCACCTCAATGGTTTCAAATCTACCGAATATAGTGCTTCTTCCGGTGTTCCACAAGGTTCAAATCTGGGACCGTTGCTCTTCAATATATTCATTAATGATATTGCAGATGTTATAGATGTGTATTTCCTTTTATATGCCGATGATCTAAAACTATACTGCCTCGTTGAGAACATAGATGATTGTGTGAACCTCTCAGCAAACGTAGGACGGGTTGTAGAATGGTGTTATCGAAATAATTTGTCGCTGAACCCGGATAAATGTAAGGTCATGTCCTACAGTTTGAAAACGAATATTTCGATCTTTGATTATTCAATAGAAAACGACATTTGACACTGCACTATCATTTAATAGGCATATCGATAATGTTGTAACCTCCTCCTGTCGTTTGTACGGATTAATTGCACGTGACAGTAGTGATTTCAAAGAAACTTCGACCTTAAAAACTTTATTCCATGCTTTCATAAGATCAAAGTTAGAATACGCGTCAGTTGTGTGGAGCCCCTTTTATCAATATCACATTAATAGAATTTAAGCAATTCAATGACGATTTTTAAAACTGCTGAGCCTGAAAACCGATGGCATTTATCGTCCAATAGGAACAACCCACTCTGAATTGCCACAAAAGCATAACTTTTGCAGTCTCGGAAAGAGACGTGAATATTATAGTGTTGCACTAACCTATAAAATTATCGAAAGCATAGTTGACTGCCCAACATTACTAGAAAAGTTTAATATTTGCATTTCTAGAATCTGTTCCAGACACCCGAGTACTTTCTATATAAAATATCTCGCACAAATGTTCTGGAGAATTCTCCGATCCATACCATGTGTAAAGCGACCAATTCTGTTAGCGATAATTTAGATATATTTAGTTACAAATTGTCAAAATAAAATCCCACTTCCTAAAATAATTGTTTTGTCACCTATAATAAATATAAAATGTGTAGTCTTTATAGTCACTTGTTTGTGATGTATTTATTATACTCTGTTATTTCCTGCTCTGTAATTGGGCTATGTCCTGTAGAGTATTGTATTACAAATAAATAAATAAATTCGGAAAACGTTCATTGAAAATCATTTCGATCTCGTGAAAGTTGCGCGTCGCACCGTAAATAAAAATCGCTTCAATTTTTCCTTCCAATGGACGAGAATTGACCATTTCAGCGATTGTTGACGTGGGAGGGACATTAAAGAAATGCACTGTATATACATTGTTGGACTACTCTTCATTCAAGTTCATCTCAATGGAGACACATACTCAAATTCATCACAAGAATATGTAGATCTCATGGTTACTGAAATTTCATAAAATGTGGACAATTTTCCAAAAAACAAAATAATATTCCATCTGGATGATGTACCCCACATTTCGATGTTCACATTAAACAGTTCTTCGACGTTTTCCAATAAGCTTTGAAGTTTGTGAGGTTACAAGAAAGTAAAGTTTCCATTGAAACACCCTGTATATATAATTGCATGGTCTTACACACGCACGGACGCACAAATTTGGCTTTCTATCTCTCTTATTGTCATTTCTTGAGAGGTTGACAAACTTATCGCTTGAAGGCTTTTTCTTCACATTCTTTTACTGACCGATATCAGATTTGTTTTGAAATTATTGTTCAACTACCTGTTTTCAGTTGAACTCATTAAAGATAAGCTTCTACCACATCACACATCTTTTTAATATTCTGATTAACCTAGTAAACTCACTATAAAGGAGCGTCCGCGGTCTGATTCTTGGAAATTGCCTCTGTGTTAGTAATTATCATTAATTGTTATTTAATAGTCTATTAATGGAACGTTCAAAAAACATAATAGCATGAAATGGTAATAGTTCTTGTTGTTAAAAATAATCTCATCTGCAGTGGCGGCGCAGAGTGGTCGTCGCAGAGGTGTATAAGACTACAACATAAACTTTTTTCTTTGGACTATTTTATATTTTTGCAAAAGTCAGTTTGCATTTTTTCAAAACACGCAACATTCTTAATTGTTTTTCAGATAATCACCAACCTTTTTAATGTTACCCAATATATTTGTGAAATCATTTATAGGATATCTCAACCTGATGTCATATATACGGACTTCTCTAAGTCATTCGACAGACTTGGTCACGAATTACTGCTATCGAAATTGTACAGGTACGGCTTTTCTCTGACGCTGATCCAATTTTTTGTATCATACGTCACTGACAGGCGTCAGCATGTTATATTCAATGGCTTCAAGTCTGTGGAACATGCAGCTACCTCGGGTGTTCCACAAGGAAGCAACCTAAGTCCACTTCTCTTCACCGCCTTCATAAACGACACAGCTGAGCTCATTGATATACGCGGATGACCTGAAAGTATACTGTGAGACCAATGGCAGCGAGGACCGTCTTCAACTCTCCCCCAATCTGAAACGTGTTGAGCAATGGTGTTTTCGCAACAATTTTCATATCAATTTTCAATAAACGATACTCCACTTCAACGGCGTCTCATATTTACCGATCTAGGTGTTACCTTCGTACCACACATTGAAGCCACTGTCTGATGGATTTATTGCATGAATCTCCAGAGATCGAATCCATCTGCATCGAAAACCTTATACTATGCTTTTGTCAGATCAAAATTAGAATATGCATCTCATCAGTTGATGAGTTAAAGAGAATGTTGAATCAGTACAACGTCGTTTCCTAAAACGTCTCTCCTATAGATCAGACATGCTATGAATAGCTTGAGTTGCCGTCGTGATTGTCACTCCACAATCCTGGTAGTCTGTCTGCTTGAATTATTTATGTCTACAGAAGATTCAAATCTCCCGCCACGATGTTCTGAGATGCAGAAGCGTGCACTCTGATTGGCTGGCGAGCTGCGTGACAGTTTGAGGACACTACGTGACAATTGGTACAGTCTGATTGGTTCACCGCCTAGCTAGCTACATTTTGTCCAACCTCAATATTTTGTGTGGTTCAAAGGTTAGTACGGGTCGCGCTATATATGTCAATTAAGAATGATAAGCCCTGACACTATTCTCTGGCTAACTCTCTATTCTATATATCTGAGATTGATCAGTCTATTCTTGATCTTGTGTTGAATATCTCTGCGGATGACTTCTCCGTAAGACTTCAGGTGTGGGCTACGCCACTGTAGGTTCAACTTGCGATAAAAAAGTAACCTTCACGTTATCCATATTTGTGACGAACCGCGATCTCTCGAATGTCATAAATATTCGTGTATATTTGGATCATCATTGTTTAATATCTATTTTTAAGAATGTTGCAACTATGGAAAAGATTTGTCTGAGTCGATGATGACATAAAAATGTTCATCTATTACTTTTTTAGGTGTATATCCTTGACTGAATATCAGCCAATAAAAATTTGATATATTGTAACTATAATAGCTATAGATGAGTCCTTATCTCATCACCGTTTATTTTTTGCTTGTTTGTTTTGATTGAATCCGTCACATGTTATTGGTCAAATATCCACAAATATTATTGCCTCGTGTATGATGCAACATGTTTCGTAAAATTTTGTTGGCAATTATTACTTTGTATCTAGTACACAGAGCACATGTAATTCATTGATGATCCTCATTTGCAAAACCTCTTCGAGCACTTGGAGCACTTGGTAATCATGGTAATAGTTCATATCATGAATATCAATCAGTAACGAAAGAGGTCCTAAGACACTTCCTTGTGGCACTCCAAATTCCTTAACAATTTCAATATACCAATCGCTTTCATTTTCTCAGTAAGTACTCTGACGTGAGGAATTCCAGCAAATTATCTTATCAACTGTTTATTCAAACTTGTTAATATATACCAACGTACAATTCAAATAACGTTAATTTCTTTTGTTACAGGAGAACTCAAATCCACTCCCATTCCACCAAAATGGATTCAAGAATTGCCACTAATGACTCGCAACACCACAGTATCAAAGACAGTGTTGCAAATCAAACAGACAGTGGGTGTGAAACCAAGTCATTGGACGGTTCACAAATTGGAGATATCGTAAAAACAAACTCGTTCGATAGCTCACCAGCCAAAGAAGATGAAGGCGACATTGTCATTCTAAGAAGGGACCCGGCTCTGAATCGAAGACGCGTAGACAGTGCAGCATATGCGAAACTACAGCGTTCTTTATCGCCTTCAAGAAACAGTGACACTCTCACCACACTGAAGGAGAAATACGAACCCGAGCAAAAAAGTATCGAGAGAAAGCCCAAACTGAGGAGGGCGTCAGCCATAAAACTGGATGAGGCGGCTGTACATTCTCTCAGAAACAGATCGAAACTGCCAGTTGCCAAGCCTAGAAGCTCCGTTAAGAGCGAAATATACATATCCCACAGCAGACCGATCCAACCCAATTATCGGTACACCCTGAACCTTAGTGAGAAACCAAGAGCGAAGGATGAAAACTCAAACGAGGTTCTTCGAAAAACTAGCTCCAGCTCTGGAGAATTCATCACCATAGTGACCCGGTCTGAGTCTGAAGGCAGCGTTGACAAACTAGAAAGGGAACTGAACTTGTTCACGATGGACAGGAAACCCAAGGAAAAGAAACGCAGCAACAGCTTCAAGAAGATCTTCAGCAGCAAAATCTTCGGCAAAGAGAAGAAAAAGAAAGAGGAACAGCAGAACAAACTGCAAGATAAACAGAACGCCGCCCGCAGCGATAACATACAAAATGAAACGAATGCCTTCGCCAGAGATTCTCCTCACAGGCACACAACTGGGGGCAATAGCCAACTCCCGAAGCCCACGAGGATGTCGCGTATCGACAGAAATCAGCAACCAACCCAAACGAACTACGACATGAAGGAAATCGAACAAAAATACGCTCAGATGCACGTTAGGGAGTTCAACAACATAAAGCAAAACTTCGACAATCAACAGTCTGGTACTAAAGAAACACCGATCATCATCAATACTCCAGGGCCTCTGGATTACAAGAATATGCCTAACATCAATAAGTTTATCGACACCAGCTCCTCGATGAGCACGCTAGAATCGGACAGAAGTAACTCAAATAAACAAGCGGACAATGACACTAGCAATAGATTCAACAGGTTCGGCGATAGTCACAGAGAAGGTAGTAGAGATACCCCACCTAGAGCCCAAGAGCTCAGGCAAGATCTCCGGCTGGTGAACCCCAGGGCACTGATTCCTATCAATTCTGAGAGGCCTCTGCCGAACCCGTATCAGAACCAAGGAAGTTTATCGCCGCAGCCAAAAAGCAGTCCAAAGTGCAGCACGCCAACAAAAGCCAATCCATTCAGTTCTGAAGAAGGCGAAAGTAAACCGCACTTCGAAGAAGCTTATGGAACTGTGTTTGACAGTCTGGTGGACAAAAACGTGGAGCAAAGAAGGCTCTCTGATCAAAAACCACCTCGATCGCCTTCCTTGGAGTCCAGTAAACTGAGGTTACCATCGAACAGAGAAATCACCCCGCTGTCTCCAAGGATGAAGTCGCCTATTCCTCAGCACCACGTCAGCACTGAGAAAATAATAGCGACGGAGCTGTTGAAGCCTAGATCCAGATCTCCAACTCCCACAAGAACGAAAAAGACCAGTCAACTGAGCCCTAGCCACCAGAAGTTAGAGCTTGGCATCGACTATCCCGAAAACATAAGCTACGAAAATAACGAACGCAGTCTGGAAGGGGGCGTTTTAGCTACGAAACCTCCCATTTCCAGAATTCCAGAACGAACACCTGTACACGTACAGAGAGTCAGCCAACAGTCCCCTAGTTTCGAGAATCGAGCAATTCGATCTCCGTCAGTAGCGGAGTCGCAGGAGAAGGTCCTCACTAACGTCCAAATCCATACCAATAGCAACCCCAGAACCCCCACTCCAAACAGTATCTTACACAACCGTTCCTTATCGCCTCTAGGTGCTCAGAGTTTGAGATCATCCACTCCAGATATGCGGGGCTCTTCATCCAACAAGTCCCAGTCACCCCAGAAAGAAGAGATGAGGAAAAGCGTTGAGGCGTACTACTGGAAAGAAATCAAGAAGCTCAAAGATCAAGAAAATATGGATTTATATTATTATCAGTCGCAAATGCCTTTCGGTTTTGCCGAGGATCCTATTCGCCGAAGATCCAGGAGTACTTCCCCATCTTCGCAGCGAAACGGTAGGAGAAGCCTGAGCTTGCCTAGAGACCCTAAACCTATGATGCAAATGGAGATCGTTGACGGCTACGGCAGGTTCCAACCCACCCCTATACCTGAAGGCAGGGCAGTGACAAATCGGCCTAATGGTGCCTACTACCACACGGACTTCAGAAGGAATGTCCCAGAGAGACGCACGATAGATACTTTTCCGAGGACAAACGGGAATTACGCGAATGGTTCGAGCAGGCCGATTTTCAAAAGGGGCAGTCTCACAACTCCTTTGAGGGAGATGTCGGAAGATCAGCAGAACAAAAAAGTTAGCTTCGGTAACCCCAGACAAGACCCTCTGAGTAATCAAGCCTGGCCGACGAAAAATGGTTTCACACAGAGCCCACCCCAGAGGAGAATGGAGAAAAATAGACTCGTCAGTCTGGAGGATGATGTGTTTTTGCCGAATCCTCCACAAGCAAGTAAGCTTGTAGTAGACGGAAGGGAAATTTACGGTTACGCCAACAGGCCTTATGGCATTGTGCATAACTACGAAAATGCCGTCAGGCAACAAGCGGCGCAACATCCTCAGTACCCAGGTTTGGGTTACCGACAGGAATCAGTGTATGGTTCCAGACAGCTCCCTCCCCAAGAGGAAATTTACTACGGCCATGTAGATACTGCCGGAGTACCCCAAGGTCTGACTCGACATGGTTCCTTGCAGCTCACAGAACCCTTATATGTTCAACAGAGGGTTCCTAGGAGGTTGTCTCAAGGCAACGCCCAAGTTTCTGGAATGCGGCCTGGTATAAGACAGGCTCCTGGCTTTCCTGGTCCACGGAGGCAGATCATCGTCCAAGACGACATTTACGGCCAGTTTGCAGGCTACATCGTCGATAACGAGCAAAACTCCGTGTATGCATCCCGACAAAGTGTAACGGAATCTCCTTACGGCTACAGCCAAGGCGTGCCCAGGCAGGTTTCAGTCAAAAATAAGGTTTGTGATATCTACGGGCAGATACACGATAGAGACAGCCCTAGTTTGACCAAGCCAAATCACTTGAAGCAGACCGGGGTTATTCTGGGGCAGCTGCAAGGCTCCCCTCGAATGGTTCGGCAATCTCACGGCCAACTTGCGAGTCAGAACTTCGTTCGCAACTCCAGGCTAACCGCCAGTGCCAACGATATGTACAGGAGACATCAGAATGTGGACCCGAGGTATGTTAATAGTGCAATGTATGGTAGGGAGGATCCCGCCCCAAATAGGCCTTTGCCGCCTGTTCCTACAGACAAAAGAGTGATGATGCGACACAGTCTTGAAAACAGTTCCAATGCTAGTGATATACAAAGGGTTAATAGTATTAATGGCAAAAGTAAAAAGCGCGGCTTGTTTGGTAAGTGAGATTTTTGTGTTTTGGGTATTTGAGGAAGAAAATAAACATTTTTTTGTAATGAAGAGGAGCACAAACCAAGTAATTATTCAAATGTGTTCCATCATGTTTGTTGTTGACTGTTGGGCTTCCAATATCTGAATTGGTGTAAACAGATTTTAAATCTATAAGAAGAGTAATGAATAGAGTGTCAAAAATACTAGAACCGAAATAAGTTACTTTAAAAAAGGCGAACATGATATTGAAACTTGAAAAAAATGAAGACTGAGTTTCAACGAAAAACAAAGAGGAATCGTAAAGGAAAAAGAAAAAAAATTCAAACCAATATGCTGCACATTTCGATGATTGTTGATATTCACAAGTATTTCTGGTTGATGACTTGTCATTTCATATTACTTGCACATTTTCAATTTTTCGAATATATCTGACTTAGTATTTGAAATACTTCATTAATTTATCTTTTCATAGGTTTCAAATCTGTTGACACTTTTTAGACAATGGAAATAAGAACCTCTGAACTCTTACCAGTTTTCTTGGCAATTATTTTCCTTCAGGTACATCTGAAACTGAATTCGAGAAAAGATAATGAGTTCGTTCGTTATTAAAAGTATTTTAAACCATGTTTGATTGATTTGGACCGCCCTCTTTAGATATATTGTTATTTTCTTTAGCTTGACAGCCAGAGGTCTATATTGGGACCAACTCTTTTTATAATATTTTCAAATGACATCTACGATACGTGTACCACACCAAATCGAATGGTACTTTACGCTGATGACACAAATATACTCCTAGCCCATAAAAACTTTGAAAGTCTGGTAAACTTGGGTAAATATACATGTGAGGAATCCAGTAAATACTGTAGTGATAATGACCTTTTTCACAATAAAAAGAAAACAAAGTTCTTTCTTACCCAAAAACGGTACCTCAAATCCAGATCTAATGAACAATATTAATATGTGTAGTGAAACTCTAGAAATACTATCAGGTAGCTAGATTTTTAGGAATACCCCTGGATCAAAAGCTAACATGTGTAAAGTTTGGCAATGCAAAGTACACAATTCGGAATCTGCGAGACACTGTCTCTACAGAAGTTATAAAACTCATGGACTTGTACAGTCAAGGCTAAGGTATGGATTGATCTTCTGGGGTAACTCTGCATATACTGACCGCATTTTTTTAAGGTTCAGAAAAGAGTCATTCGCTGTATGGACAAGTCTCGTCCACTCGTAAACCACTATTTGAAAAATTTAGCATCTGACCATTGCCGTGTCTCTACATATTACAGCTGGTGTTATTCACCTATAATAATGAACACCTATATTAAAAAACTCTGATATACATAATTACGCTACTCGGGGTGAAGATACTTAAAACCACCCCTAGTCTTGCTTTAGTGTGAGACAGAATTCCCCAAAATACTTGGGTATTAAATGTTTCAGTAAAATAACAAATTTTATAGGGATCAATAAAAGTAGAACTGTAATGGTTTCTTGTTGGATAACTGCTTCTACAATATGGACAAATTTCTTGCTTTCAGTGCTCAGATAAATGACATAGTTTCTTTTTACATGTAGTCTTTTTTAAATTTGTTCAAGATCAAACATTTGTGTTCAGCTTTTAGCGTTTTTACTTTTTTGACTCGTCCAATAAGTTATCATGTATTTAATCTTGTAATTATTGTGTATGTGTGAAAATTTTAGTGAGGATTANAAGTTGTATAAAGTGGCTAACCTCAAGGAAATAACTCGAACGAGTATACATTTCAAACAAACCAGTTATTTTTCCGTGATTGATAGTGAAAACACGGCAAATCCTGGAACTGTGCTATGGCAAATAGTTCTTTTTTATCATTGTTCAAACAATTCGAGCCGCCTTCTATTTGTTTTTCTTATCGGTGCGTATTTATCCTGGTAATTAGTAATAAAAAAGACGTTCATACGGAATAAAAGTATCGTTTATGAATTCCGAACAGTTTTATTTAACAGAACGGACGTGCTTTCGAGGGGTTTTGTCTGGCCTCCGCTTCAACAAATATCCAAGATACAATGAACTTTACGATGAATATTGTATTTCTATACCCGCAGGTCATATAGCGAGGATAGTTACTAGTACCTGAGATCTATCGTTGAGATTGTTATTCGACAATAACACCGTTGAAACTTCCAACAATGCCCATTTTTGCTTGTTCCCATCTCAACCACTCTTTGTTTCGTTTTGTTGAATATTGTGGCTTGTTATTGGCCCACTTTTAATTCAATTATTTGGTAGTGGTAATAAAGCATTCAAAGATAACATTAATATAGTTTAAACTTCAACTTCATTATTTTTTTATTAAATTTTTCTATTTTTCTTTTAACAAAAAGTAGTGTACAAAATTACAGTTGCCCTGATGGAAAAATAGTATTCTTTAAAGATGTCTGTATTTCTTTTAACTGAAAATAGTCTACGTTCAAAAATGTAATATCTAGGTAACAAATTAGAGTTGCTCTGATACGAAAATATTATTCACATCAATTCAATAATAGATTTCTGACGTATCAAATTTTGAGATTAAAATATTTTGATAACAAACTGAAAATGCTCACATTATAAATGAAGAACAAAGTGACAGACGATTGGAACATAAAGTTGTCAAACTGACATTTTGCAGCAAAATTTCTACACTAATCTTTAGATGTAAGTAAGCATGTTCCTCTCCATTTAAGTTATCGACAGGAGATTCAATAAACAGGGCACTCAAAGGCAGTCCGTTGTGTCCGTTTTTGTCTTCTGTCTTTCTCTACAGCATTCACTGCAAAGTAACTAGTTGGCATAATAGCCCAAATCCAAAATATTCGGTGATTTCTCACTAGACAGAGCTATTTTGATCTGCCATAAGTTTCAAATGAATTTTAAATGTATTGAAAAATCATCATAACTGTCATAACTTTATATTTCATCTCTCTTTTGATCGATTGTTTACAAAAATATTCATACACATTCCAGTTTTTAATGTATTGTAACTTTTTTTAATGCATGCTTCGTAATTAAATATTTTACAGTATTTAATTTGCCATTCTCGTTGTTTTGTTAAGTATTCGTTTCCTAATATGAAATGTTTATTAATTTCGAAACAAATTCTCAAATCTCCGTCAAAAACAAGTTGGCAATGTAGCATGCACAGTCAGAACAACAAAGGAAGAAGAAGAAAACGATATTCAATATGAATAAGTTTCAAGGTGTTGCCAAGTTCACACCAAATATTAGTGACGTCACAACCACTCGATTGTAAAAAAAACTACTGACAAGAAAATTGAAAAAACTATAAAATGGGGTACTATTATGCGTGTAGTTTTCACTTATTTGGTTATCCCAACAAGATTGAAAGCGAATGTTTCTTTGAGTTTTTTTTACGTCAACCTGAATGATGTTTCGCATAACTGTATTGTTTTTTTTACTTCCATTAAGTGTGTGTGTGTAATTCAGGTTGATAATTCAATCTTATAAATAGAGGGTTTGAAACCATAGTACTTCAAAAAATGGATTGCTGACTTGCTGTCGAACTAAACAGCTGATCATGATATTTATTGTGGGTATTTAAATTCAGTTTAGATGTAAGATATCTTATGCCATTTCTTCCTCAAATCCCAAAATCTCGAATTGAGGCTGCTTTACTACCATTCGTTCGTTAAAGTATTATGTGACTTAAGCTTCATATATTTAAATGTATTTTTGTGTAAAAATAATTATAAGGCATAAATTATTGTATGTTTGTTCACCAGCGCTATTTTATATTTTTATTGGAATTAAAATATTTTCGAATCGAGCTTCAAAAGCGTTTTATTTTGCCCGTGTCTATATACACAATAACGGTAACCCTGTTCATTAAATGAATATGATTAACGTTATCGTCTATCTAGTCACTCTTCCCCCAATTTGAGGGTATGGCTTGTGATTCCAGATTTTGCGATAAGGAAGAAAAGGTAAGTTTAGGAATTGAGTAGTTTTGAAAACAGTATTTGCCGTGGATTAGATAGTGTGGTTCAACAATTATGCAACAAATGTAATTTGGAGGAGAGGAGGTGGATCTAGAAAGTGAGCATTATATACCAGAAATATATAATATTACCTATGTACAGTGTGAGCTTTGAAGAAAAATTCTGTGAATTGTATTTCAGACATTTGACTGAGAAATTCACGATTTATATTGACAGTGACATTGATCTAGCATACAACACTTTTTTGTCAACTGGTATGTATGATTTGGAAGACAAATCAGATCAGCAATTAAGCTCTTTTATCCATCTCATGTAACATATGGAATGGAAGTGGATTCAATTTTTACAAGTGATCTCAATCCTTTGATTTTATCCAAGGTACTCATTTTGTCAGTTCTGGCAATCTAGTTGGCCACAAGTTGTTCCAAATAACATGATGTGACCATTTTACTTGAACTATACTGTTTGGTTTCACACCTGTGGAAGAAATACACGACCAATGATGATTCCATCTGGTCTCTGATAGTTTTTAATTGAGTATTTTCATTAATAAGTATAAGAGTGAATGATAAAGCATGGTAAAGCAGTCTACTCCTTCGTTGCATAAGTGATCATAACTATTGGTTTATTGAACACTGTACAATCTATGTATATAATTACTAATTTTTAGGTTATCGCGCTGATGATTTGTCAAATTCCCATTTATCAAGAATTGATGAAGAAACCAAAGGATTGTGTGCTACAAAACTGGAGCGTTTGGTACTTTTAGAAAAACTTCAACTGCTCAAAATGAAGCAACAGATAGAAATTGAGAAAAGTTAGTAACATCAGAATCCATTTATTTGTACCTTTCTAAAAACAAATACCTATGTCACTCTATTTCAATAGTTCATTCTCAAAATTTGAAATATTTACTTTCCTCTCGAAGTTTCCACATGAATTTTACAGATACATTTGAGATCAAACAAGTAAACATAACTCAAAACTCCGTATATACATTCTACTCATTGAAATGTTTTATTTTCAGGAGAAAATAGAACTTCTGCAACATTCTACGAAACATCAGATGATACCAATAGCAAACAATATTCAAGTAATCATTTCGATTATTCTGAAAGTCCGCTAGAATCAGAAGATACTCAGAAATTGAACCTCGCTGACTTAAAGAGAGTTGTCCTTCTAGAGGAACTATATTTGGTCAGAATGAAATTACGTAGGAAAAGATTTTGATTTCATGAATCAAAATTTATATTTCCTCTACTCGAAATTAAACATTTGTCTGTAAGTTTTAGATGATTATGTGAAATATATTATTATTGAATTATTACTTTTTTCTGAAAACATGACACCTTATAAAATTTTTTCAAATACAAAATCTACATTGATCGATATCAATTTCTGTAGTACTTACCTAATTAATTACTCAGGATTTTTTTAAACTAATTACTTTTTTGATACTGGTATATTCCATTCAATTTTTACATTGATCGATATCAATTTCTGTAGTACTTACCTAATTAATTACTCAGGATTTTTTTAAACTAATTACTTTTTTGATACTGGTATATTCCATTGAATTTTTAGGAAAGTGAGAACTTTACGAAATGAATAAACTTTCTCAACGCGACATCTATTATGCAATAGCCAAATGTATCATTCATAGAATTTTTTCACGAAAATTGAAATCTACGATGGCTGCGTTATATCAAAGGTCGGATCTTTGTGGATAGTCTATATACCAAGGTCACATCGATTTTCAATTCGGAATATTTTCTTAAATTTGTCATCCACTGCTTTTTTCCCTAAATCTATTTTGACTCTTGTTTTTTGGTAATAAACACATTTAATTCGTATCTTTCGTCGTTTTTTATGTGGGATAGAGGATTTTTCACTTTAGTATTTTGTGATTTCGAAAATTTTCATAAGAACAATTGGGGGAAATCGTTTCTACAAGATGGTGTATCAAACAAAACCGATGGTTTGTCAAAAATTGGATTAGATAATTTCTAATATCTGAGCAGCAATATTTTTCCCATTTAGGAGTAAAATCATATTTATTGAAGATATTGTGGAAACTCCCAGCATAATATATTTTGAATTAATATGACTAGTTATTCATAGAACTAAAACCCAACTGGATTTTAGTCAGGTGTCAATTATTTTCCTATAGTTTGACGTTCTAATTGGAATGTATAGATGTCGCCACTTTGTGTCCCGCAAATATGTTGTGAAATTTCTACTTTTGTCCTTCCTTTCATCTTTGTTTCGTTGTTTGTTGTTAGTTTTGACATTTTTGACAGGCAATGTGTGTTTATAAAATATAAGGGGAAAATGTATACTCTTTTCATCGTTATAATAAAAACTACAGAAATTCGTGATAAGTGAATAATTTTTTTGAAAGTGGCAAAGAAACTTCATTTTCGGTTTCTCGACCCTAAACTATTCAAGGGTTGGTGGTGAATATTATAAGTGTGATTCGGTAAGAAGCATTCGGTAAGAAGTGGTGAAAATATTTGTGCTTGTAACCGGAATGATCGGTGAAAATGTAATCAAAATATAACCTGAAAGTATGAATAGCATCTTTCTCTAAATAGTTGGATTGACCCGTTGTTGATGTAAAAACATGTGTCCGTCCTACCAGCTGACTATTTCTGTATTAAATCAAACACATCTTCAGACTTAAAAATGCTTTGAGTTAGTGTTGAAAACCGTTATTTTTTATAATGACTTTAAAACGCAATAAAACGAAAAAAAATTAAATGGACGCGTTGGAATTACCGGAGTTTCGATATATTATTTTCACGTAATATGCGAATCGTAAACAATGATCAAAACATAGACCCAGTGCACCCGAAAATGTCCGAAGATTTTCACAATGGAAACAACTCAAAATTATTGAATTGCGTAAAAGGAGTTTCCTATTTCAATGAGATAAACGACGTAGAAACAGAAACTAGCGATGAAGAAGTCGTCGTAGATCATATGTACGCTACAAATACCGAAAATGACGAGAAAAATAACATAAACGAAGAAAATCCGCCATTCAGCTGTCAAACAGCCGAAAGTGAGGTTAGGTTCATCAAAGAGTGGCTCATCTTACATACTGACCTGATACAACAACAAAACGATGATATTATCGATAAAGACAGGGAAATCCACATTTTGCGAAAAGAAAATGAAATGGTAAGTTCCGAGTGATGTAGTTTACAATGCGTTAAAAGGCAGTTTCTCTTTCAATTTCCAGTGGCATCATAATGAATATTTGGTTTTTTAGCTCAAAGAGCGGATAAACTGTTTAGAAAAAGGAATACCTTATCAGCCAGATAAGTCTTCCGACCAGAGAGTTTCTACAGAGGAAATTCTGGAAGATATGACCCAAGGTCCTTGCCAGGAAGAATCAAAAGAAAATATCCAGTTATTTGAGGAGCAGTATTACAGTGACGATGGTTGTTCTTTAGAAATAAACTATCAAGACGATCACGCGGACTTGAGTGTCTCCGAATCTCAAATTAACAATAGTGTTGTCGAAACCCCTAAAGACCATTCGTTAGATTTAGAAAATAGTGTTAACGAGCTCAAAGACGAGGACCACTCGCTAAACGAAGTAGAAGATAACTGTTACAAACCTGAGAGTGACATATTAAATTGCAGTGATTCCTTTTCTAATTATAATTTCACCATTAATAATATTTGTGATTTTGATCCAATGAAAAACTTGAGAATGAGCATCAGGAGGAAAAGAGTCACCAGTAATTCTTCTGCGTTGTCCCAAAATGAATCAGTGAACCTGGAAGAAAAGGAAGCGCCCAGGCGACTGAAGAAGAAAAAGCGACGTAAGTAATAACTTTTTTAATTCTCACTTTCTGTCATTCGATTTCCTATTATTTGAAAATAATCTTGTCCTCAAATCTGAGATATGGTGCAAGTTTTTTAGCGCCAGCTGTTTCATCAGGGAAGTTTTCTACAATACTTTTTTAATTCAAGTTGCCTCCTCCAGGGAAGTGACAACATGCGAGAATAGATGGCGCTACGGGCACTTAATGACAGTTTCAAAATATTTGTTCTTAGAGGAAGTGTAGCTTTACCTTCAAAATATATATTCATGTACTGCTACTAGATGGCGATAGATAATTAGAATTGAAGAATACTGAATGCTAAATAAATGAAGATACCATCTAGAGACAACAGAGCTACTTTAACATATATTGTAGGAAATTATAGATACTTCAAATTGTCTTTTCTAATAATGATCGTTTTTTATTATAAATTGATAATACTGGAATAAAAACAATATAACCTCAAAAAATCTAATTGAATTTACTGAATCTTGTTTAGGCTATTTGAGTTAGATCTGAACTGTATTGAAACTACCAAGTATCACTAATCCTTGCAGTAAATGATTTTCTTTTCTTTTCGTCTCATTAAAAGGTAGAAAACAACATTACTTCAGCAAATTCAACATAGACTTTCCATGCACATGTGAGCTTTTGAATTTCACTGATTCTGATTGTTAATTAATTTTTTTCCTTGTTTTTGTTTCATAATACTTGTTATTCTACTTTATTCCCTCCATAAACAAGTATGTTTCTTTGAATCATTGAGAAGAGTTCAAGAATTTTTCTGCAATTTTGCAAAATATTGTTGAGTTGAAAAAACATGGTACTTATTTCATTTAATTGGTTGATATTTTTATGGTTTATGCTTTCTTTGTGTTTTTTATATTCCACAAACAGAAAAATAAATAAATTTTGTACAACTGTAAACGTTGTTAACTCTCCTTTTAGAAAAATTGTAAGTTAATAATACATAATAGAAATGTTTGTTGTTTGTCAAATTTTATTCCGTACTTTACCACCTGAAAAATTCAAGTCCAGAACCATCAATAGAAAATGAGTTTGAGAATATTTTCCACTATCTGTCGATATGAGAATACATCTCAATTTTTCAGATATTTCAACATTTTTCTAGAACTGATGAAATGAAAAGACTTCTAAAATTATATAATATTTTTCTGCATCATTTTTCCAGGACCAACTAAAAATGCCAAATTCTTGACATCCAGTGAACCATTTGTTACCCAATCCCATGAAGTTAGCCTGGGCATCTCTCCTGGTGAAAGAGATGTTACGGAATGTTTGGCAGCATCACTAGAGGTGAGTATTTTTTTTAAAAAGTATATACTTGAAATTTCAGGAGCACATATTTACATGGAGTGGTTAAAAAAAACCTTATGGCATTTATTCCAATATTTGGACAGGTTTTATTGCCATAATCGGGGAAACTTAAGAAATAAAGATGTCATGTTGACATAGTTCTTAAGTTTTCATAAAATTACTTACATTGTCAGTGAGATTGTTTGCATATGGTGGAAAAAGTTATCTTATATATGTACAACAATATTTAGGCAAAGTTGACAAATAATATATCTTGGTAACAGGATTAGTTAAATAGTCATCCATGAATATTACAGCCAATAATTGATATAACAATTATTATTCCTGGAATATTTGCAAATGCAGTTATGAATTAATGAGAATATTTGAAATTGAAGTTTATGGTTATAATTTTTCAAGGTTAAACTACCAGTGGTGCCAATACACTCAGTTGGGGCAACTCAAAAATCAATATCATAGAACACGAAATTGAAATGTATTCATAAATCACCCAATGGAAAAGAAATTGACAGCTGTCTTAACTTTTTTTGATTGCTCTGAAGTTTTATTCATTCAAATATTGTTTGTACTAACATTGAAAATATAGTTTAGTAAATTGATACTACTGGTTTTGACTTGACGTCCCATGATTTTCTTGATCACTTAGGTGATTAGATGAAGGCGATTGATTGTGAAATGAAGGCCGTATCTAAGAAGGGTCGTTTGTATTCATTATGTTCTGTTGCCATTATCTTTGTTCCATGGAAGTTCATAAAATACCTTCTTTATAAACGTGATTACTCAAAACACCTCTTTATGGCTTTTTTATACTTATGGTTGAGTTTTCTAATTCAGGTCCCCAGATGGCGCCACAAAATCTACGGTAGTTTCTATACACTGGAAGGAACGGAAAACTTGGACGATGAAGTCTTCAATAAAAGGCATATGCGACCCGAGTATGAAGAAAGGCGACGGAAAAGGTATAATATTTCAAAAAAAATCTTTTGTGACTGCTAATTCATACTGTAATTTCCAGGTGGGATTTTCAAAGAATACGTGAGCAGCGAGTGATAGAAAAATTGAAGCAGCGCCAAGATAGGGTCGGATTGGGATCGAAACCAGAAGAAAACGAACCGGTACACTCTCTGTGGCCAAAAGCTGAAGATGTGAAGTTCCTCGAGATAGTCGATGAATTACCTGTTTCAGCTTTTGGCCAACCCATTCCAAGAATCAACAAAAGGTGAGTATGAATTGTATGAATGGCTGTATAAAATCCTCATGTTCACGCCGGTACTCAGGCGGTAGCAAACCAGATATTTTCTGCAACAGAATAAAATAGCCTTAACGTAATAACCAACAAACTTTGCATAAGAAAACTCTGACTAAAACTACGTAGTCAATTGTTGAAATGAAAACTATTTCTCTAGTATATATTTTATTTTTCTATCTCCAATATTTACTTATCAATGAATGATTTATCCTCCACAGCGAATTTGAGCTGCCGTGGATGAAGGATCCGTCGCTGTTGTCAAAAAAACCTCACTCGAGAAAGTCGACGTCGAGAAGGAGGCGCTCGAAAAGATAGAATTAAGTTAAAACATCGTACCTGGAACTTTTAATGTATATCTTGAGAAATAGATCAAGGAAAAACTCGGTGCGGTTCAAAAGTTGTATATATAGTTGTATATGGTAGTACTGTTAGATTGCTCTACGACGTTTCGAGAATTTCTTGTTCTGATTATAGTTTTTGTGGACGCGCGAGTTTTCGGCAGACGAGGAAGAGAATGAGAGTATTTAGCAGGAAGTGTTGTTTTCGACAGACTCGAATTTTTTGAGGACATACAAATTTCAAAGAGATTTTTGCCTATGAGTTTCGAAGATCCGCTGAACGATTCAAGACGATGAGTTATATTGAAAAAAAGAAATTTACTCGAATCTCACTTTTTTTTAATTCATAGGATCTGGAAAATTTGAGTTGTCAGCGGATTTGCAGCAGAGCCTTTCGGTTATTTAAAACGTGGACTGAAATTAAAGTTGAAATTCTACAGTATTCTGAAATTCATGGCCTTCCCACCATGAGAGGGTGTTGAGGGGTGTTGCAGATCATCTTGCTTTCCTCCAATGAGTGAATTCTTGAGGTGTGTTAGAGAAAACTCCAACGACACTTGCTGCAGTCCATTCCTTTGCGACTCATAAAATTCATATGTTCCACTGAAAGTCATACAGTCTGCCTTGGATCCAATTTGAGTCCATAAACGTCAAACACATATTTAACTGCCTTCAGTATTATTTTTGATCAAGCTTCTATACCATAAGTCCTATCAAATTGATATACATCAGTACAGTATAGTCGTGGAACGTTCAAACATTGCGACAATAATATTTACTCGATCAGTTCTCAACATTGATGAATCATTCTTGGTGTACGTACTAGCTCTTTCGATACCTGATATTTGCCATTTGACTGATTTACTAGCAACAACTTTCAACAATTCGGTTAGGTGTAATTTCTCTTGTAGTTCAGAGGCAATCCAAATGTTATTCAAAACCATAAATATATTCAGGTTTCTTCCAAGTGAGTCTGAGCAAGATTATAGGACTCGACTACTGAATTTAGTTCAGTTTGCTGAATTTTCTCAGCGTCTTTTGTATCACCGTTTCCTTCTAACTCCTCATTATCTGAATCTGAAGCTTCCTTGTCCTCCTCTTCAGGTTCTGAACCATCCTTGATTTCCTTGAATATGTTAGTTGTTTTACATCTGCACCAACCTCTACTTTATCTTCGGAGATACTCATTTGCTCGTTGGTTTCTCATCTGCCTTTCCTCTTTATTGTCCTCTCCTGTGTTAGCAGTACTTCTTTCGTTTCTAGATTCATCCTTCGTAACGGTGTGGCTATTGATATTGATTTTGGAGGACCTGGTAAAAATATAATTCAGTAGTCTTCGAGTTTGAATTCGATAAAATTCTGGGATAGTCAAAATTGTACCGAATCAAAACTTCAAACTCGAAAACTACTGAATTTTATTTTTATTGTTTTATATTTTTACCACGTTCTTCACCATATGATACAAAATTTCTTTGGCGAAATGTTTTCGGCAAACAGGAACACCAAAATCAATAGCCACACTGTTACGATGAATGAATCTAGAAATCAAAGAAGTACTGCCAACACAGGGAAGGACAATGAAAAGCAACCAACACATTCAAAGAAACCAGGAATGGTTTAGAACTTGAAGAGGAGGATAAGGAAGCTTCAGAATCGGATAATGAGGAGTTGGAAGGAAATAATGATACGAAAGACGGCGAAAAAGTACAACAAAAAGGAGCAAATTCTGCTCAGAATTACGTGAAAGACAGCTAAAAATTTTATGGCGTGAAGTCGGCATTCAACAAATTTTTATCGTGAATTTCCGACTTCAGTTTCAGAATACTGTAAAATTTTAACTTTGATTTCTGAATTTAATTGTAATAAAACTCCAAATTCAATTTGAACCTGGAATTTATTACATTCCAACTTGAATTTCGGAATTTTTTATCAAATTAGTACCCTAAAGCCGGAATTTTCCAACTCGAAACTCTGCGAATAAAAAATTAGGTATAAAAATTGTAAATAATGAAAATAAAATTGAGTCAATTTTAGTTTTGAGTCGGAATTAAATAAAGTTTCAGCTCTCGAGTCTGAATTTAACAGTAGTCCAAATTTAACAATAATAAATTTATTACATTCCAACTTAAATTTCGTAATTTTTTATCAAATTAGTACCTCAAAGCCGGAATTTTCCAACTCGAAACTCGGTGAATAAAAAATAAGTATAAAAATTGTAAATAATAAAATATAAAAATAAAATTGACTGAATTTCGAGTCTGGAGTCGAAATCAAATAATTTTTTTGTCGAATTTTGACTTTGAACCTGGAGTTTCAATAAATTTTTGCAAAAGATATTTTATCAGTGATTGACTCAATTGATACTCACAAAAATATATTGGTATGATTAGTTGCGTGTTGTTTTTTGTCGTATCATCTTCTTTTTTCACACTATATTCCAACAATGGGGGTATCTTGAAGGTAAATAATTCAAATTAGGCAAAGAAGATACACTACTGGATATTTTTACTCATACCACAGACGTTTCGGAAGATTCTCGCCTTCTTCAGGACAATTGTGTATTTCTTGTAGATGTATAATTTTCCACCAAGTTTGTTTCATTCTCCAATTGAATGTCAGGAGTTGGGTTAAATGTATCTTTGACAATGTCTCACTGTAACAAAAAAATGGCTACAGTTTCCATCAAACTTGGAAGGTCTTAATTTCGGTACTCGTCTGCGAAAACTTCGTCGTCGACCTTCATGACAATTTGTATAGTATTTATTCCCAAAGTAAGTTGATACATATTTTTCTAGAATAGACAGGTAGGCAGAGAAATGAAGTATTTGACTCGACTAATGTAAGGGTGGGGCAGTCTCAAAATCCACCTTCTTGACCAATAATAATGATTTACTTGCAAACTGAAGGTTCACCGTTGCTCGTGAACGTGAGCTTTGAGCTGCTCCGCGCCGCTGTGTTTGTACATTTAGGTTTTAGTTTCAATGTGATACAAGATTTTAGAAAAGTTTGATATTATTTTTATAAGTGAGAAAAAGTTTTGGTCAGCAGTGTACTTAGGATTAATCAGCGCATTGTACATTGCCACTGTTTTTTTTTCGATTTTTGTTCTCATTACACTATTCACCAAGAGGACAGTTTTTCATTTTGTCTTTTGATACAGATGTTGAATTTGTTTATCTAAATGTAAAAAGTTATTCAAAAGTTGAGAAATATCCCAAAATTCAAATAACTATCAAAGCAAATTGCAGATGGTCAGGTAATAAAAATCTAAGGAGGTCAAATCTGGAGATCTTGAAGGCTACTTGGTAGGTCCTCTCCTAATCCAATGATTATTATAATGGACCATGACCATTCCAGAGTCCATTGCAAATCAATTAGGTTTGAGTTTTCTATAGATCTCATAGCCGGCGTCTTTATAAGGGAAGTTGTCATGATCACCTCTCAAGTTTGATGGGTTTTGTCATGAAGTATTATTTTTTACCCAGCCCAGTACAACTGTAGTTAAATCTGCAATCAATCAGATTTATTCTTGCAAGGCTGTCAGTTGGAAAACCAAGAGTTGTGTCAATCAAATTCCTTGCGTCGAGGGTATTTGACAAAACAAAAACAGTAGGTTTTCTGAGCATCTTCATTTTCCATTGTAATTTGTTATGACGTAAAGGTCTCTACGTACACGTCGATGTTTGGATCTATCAATTAATAGATGTCAAAACAGCACTACAGAAAACTATAAAATTACAGAAGTAGTTGTGTGACAGGTGTCGCCACTATGTAACAAAACTGATGAGTGTAATTACAACCAATAGTTGGCAGTACACGGAAAATGGATGTGAATCAATGATTTTTTTGGAACAAATTGGGATTCACGTTTTGGGAAAATCCTTTGTTTCCTGTAATCGGACTTTCACGTGTTCGTTTCGACTCGGATTTCCACGTGTTCATTTCTAATCGTATTTTCACGTGTCCGTTTCTAATCGGATTCTCACGTGTCCATTTCGAATAGGATTTTCATGTGTCCGTTTCTTATCGGATTTTCAGATGACTTGTCTAATACAATTTTCACGGGTCCGTTTTTTAATCGGACCATCATATCTTCTTTTCGAATCGTATTTTCACATGTCTGTTTCTTATCGGATTTTCATGTATCCATTTCTAATTGGATTTTCACGTGTTCGTTTCTAATCGGATTTTCACGTGACTTCTTCTAATTGGAATTTCACGTGTTCGTTTCCAACCGGATGTTACGTATAGAATTTTCAAGTGTACGTTTTCTAATCGGACTTTCACGTCGTCTTTTCGAATAGGATTTTCACGTGTATGTTTCGAATCGGACTCTCACGTGTTCTTTTCGAATCGTATTTTCACGTGTCCGTTTCTTATAAAAGTTTCATGTGTCCTTCTCTAAACGGAATTTCACGTGTTCGTTTTCAACCGGATGTCACGTGTTCGTTTCTAGTTGGACTTTCACGTGTTTTTTTAATCGGATTTTCACGTCTTCGTTTCTAACCGGGGATTTTCACGTGTCCTTTTCTAATCGGAGTTTCACGTTTCCAACTGGATTGTCACGTGTTCGATTCTAATCGGATTGTCTTGTGTTCGTATCGAATCCGATTGTCACGTGTTCGTTTCTAATCGAACTGTCACGTGTTCGTTTCTAGTCGGACTTTCACGTGTTCTTTTTAAATCGGATTTTCACGTGTCCGTTTCTTATAAAAATTTCATGTGTCCTTCTCTAATCGGAATTTCACGTGTTCGTTTCCAACCGGATATCACGTATAAAATTTTCGAGTGTACGTTTTCTAATCGGACTTTCACATCGTCTTTTAGAATCGTATTTTCACGTGTCCGTTTCTTATCTAAGTTTCATGTGTCCTTCCCTAACCGGAATTTCCCCTGCTCGTTTCCAACCGGATGTCACGTTTTCGTTTCTAATCGGACTTTCACGTGTTTTTTTCGAATCGGATTTTCACGTCTTCGTTTCTAATCGGGGATTTTCACGTGTCCTTTTCTAATGAGAGTTTCACGTTTCCAACTGGATTGTCGCGT